CCTGATGATATGAGATGTATCGTGATATTGAGAGATTATGGTTCCTCTCTCATCCTCCTTGTCTCTAATCTATCAATTTAAATAGTCTTGTGAAAATATAGGAAGAGAAGAGGAGAGTCTAGTTCTCCTTACAGATAAATAGAGGTTTTCGGATCCGAAGATGGATCTCTCTATTCTGTTTATTCTATTGAGGGAAATCCTTCCTCCTAATCTGTATAAATAGGAGAGGGAATATGCTAATAGATTTAAGCTAAAGCTATTTCATTTCTACAATAAAGCTTCTTCAATTATTTTTCTTATCTTCTATTATTTCTATCATTTACAAATCGAATCAAATTCTTTTCACATGAGATTTGAAAGGTATGTATCGTAAATCCAATATATCGTTATTATTTTCGTATTACAAATAATATATTACAGATTTTATATTTACAGTTACTTGCAGTCCTGAAACCAAGGATACTTGCGAACGCCATTGCATGGTGTTATCTTCTCCATGTCGAAGACTTGCCCGGTCGGTGCACTGCCGTAGCTTGTTGTTTTGCGTAAGAAAAGATGGGGTAACAAGGCTGCTTCAACTCATTCAGAGTTGCAGTTAGGCCAGGGATCAGATTCTTTGCATGTCACAAACCGACTCATCTCTTCATTATGTATGCGTACCAATAATCTATTTGGGGCGGTTGCCTACCCTAGTTAATATAGTCATCGAAATAGCTGGGAGTGGTGGGCACTGGAGTGACTGCAGTGTGCTGTTTGTTTGGCTACTCCCTTGCTGCGTTTGGCAAGTTGGTGGAGGGTTGAGCAGTATATATACTGTGAGTTCCTGTAAAGAAGATGAGGCAAGAGGTATAGAGAGGGATAAGAGCAGAATCGAGAGTCACAATGTGCATTGCTGCATGGCTGTGGCAGTCTCACCCTGTCTACCCACTTCTCCTTCTGCTCAATAGAGATGAGTTCCATGATAGGTATGATCAAAACCTTTCACTAAGTTTGCTTCAATCATTGTATTATCGTTCCATGAATTCATATGATCTCTAGTCTGGATCAATGTGGACATGGTCTTTAGTCACTGCATCAAACCTGATTCATTTTCAACTCCTCCATATAGGCTTCACAAGTTTCAAATCTCCATATGTTGCACTGCCTGTTGGTATATACAAGATTGTTGATGGTGATTAGTTCCAGTATATATCATTGTCATCTCGTTCATAAATGCTTGCAAAAATTGAAATTTGCATATGCAATTGATAGTATCAACATGTATCATGTTGGATCTCACTGGATGGCAGGCCTACTAAACCAGTAGCATGGTGGGGAGATGGATTTCAGAAGATACTGGGAGGGAGAGATGGGTTAGCTGGTGGGACTTGGCTGGGGTGCACAAAGGATGGAAGGCTGGCTTTTTTGACTAATGTGTTGGAGCCTGACCTTCTCTCCAGTGCAAAGAGCAGAGGAGAATTGCCTCTCAGGTTCCTGCAGGTACTGTATCTTTATGATCTTGACATTGATATCTTCCCTTCATTCATTTGTTGGAAACATCTTCTCTGTTTAGTAGGAAACTTGGCAATCTTCTTTGCCATGACAAGAAAAACATAATGCTTCCAAACATAAAAATGTCGAACATGGCATTTATGTAATCATCACCTGCTATTATTCTTTATTCATATTACTTTGTTTTTTTCATTTGTTTCAAATGCATGATATACATTTGTTTCTACAGAATTCCATTTTGATTGTGCTTTCTCATAACCTAGTAAACATGAAAATTTTCCATTTATCCTATCTGCACTTTAAACATGAAAATTGGTATTTACTGCAAGTACGGCTTAACGTGTGTTAATTCATAAACCGCTGTCTTAGCATATGTTTTGAACATGTTATCTTGTGCTCACTATGTAAAACTTTTCTTGAGTTCCTGAGATGTGTAATATTTTAGATATGTGCAGCGCTAGTACTCTAAATTAAAGGTAACAATAAACTTTTGTTAAGAAAACTTATGTTGCACTTTGGTCCTTTTGGTTTCATTGGATGGTTATATCTGTGTGAATGGTCATGTTGATTACCCTTGTTGTGATAACTTAAGCTATCTGCTATTGTATGTTTGGCATGGATGCTTACCTTTTTCAGGTGGTCACTGGACTCTGTTTGTAAGATGTAATTGTCCATATGTGCTTAAGAGTATTACATAGTTGTTAACTTTGATTTCTTTTGCTGATAGATACATTGTATCTTTTCGCCAGCTCACATGCACAATAATGCATTTGATTTTAATCACAGAATTAGATAAGAGTTTGTAAGTTTGCATCTCTGTGAAGGTTCTGCATTATTCTCTTTTGGCATTGGGTTTTCATTTCAGGATAGAAAGAGCCCTGTGGAATTTGCAGAGGATCTGGTAAAGGAAGCAAATGAATACAATGGTTTCAACCTCATATTAGCTGATACTTCTTCCAAACTCATGGTTTATGTGTCCAATCGACCTAAGGGAGAGCCTGTTTCTGTTCAAGTGGTCTCCCCAGGTCTTCATGTGCTCTCCAATGCAAAGTTGGACTCTCCTTGGCCTAAGGTAAGCTAGTAATCATAAAGAGTTCTGATTCCAATTCCTGAATGATTTAGCAGATGACATAATTTGTGTTTTGATGATTATATTCATCCAGAATATGTTTGTAATGTTCTGCACCGATGCTAATGTCCTTTCCCTTACCATTTTAGTTGGATCTTTACTAATCGTACAGTTTTGGTTTCCTGTATTGACAAATAGTACATGCAATTAAAGTGGCACATAATGGTAAAAATATAAAACATGTTGCCTGCCGTAATACTTGATTTGATATCAGGTATCGAGCAAGTACTAAATTGATGACACTGATTCCTATTGAGTTGCTTGGAAGACCAACTCACCTTGGTCACCTTTAACAAAGTTTTGATGCAAAAACATAAAAAGGAGGAAGGAAAGAAACCAAGAAACAAGTTACGCATTGTATACTTTGTCATGCAGTTACATGCATATTTACTTAATATGCAATCTGCTATAATTTGGGAAGTTCTATGTCATGTCCTTTCTGTTGAAACCATACTTCTTCACTCTAGAGTAGATCAGTAAACCTACATTAGAGTTTATTGAAAACTTATCTTGAAAGAGGCAGCTTAAACATATGGAAACTATTATTCAGTAGCACTATTAGCTTCTCTGTTTGGCAAACCTCATCAGTGATTGAAGAACCTTGAGATTTTGGTAATAGGAAAGTAAACAAAGTGATAAGATCACAATGAAAAGAGAAAGCCATCACTGAGATTGTCATTCTTATGAACATAAAATTCACAAGAATTAGAAGGCACCAACAAGTGGTTGAATGACAAGAAAGCCATCACTGACATTATGTCTATGAATCCTATACGTTTCTCATGCTTCATACAAAGTGGAGCAAAACTACTTAGTTCATCTTCATTCTCGTGCAGGCGCAGCGCCTTGGCACAAGTTTCATGGACATAATTCTGAAGCATGGAGATGAAGAAATCTCGCAAGAGGACATGGTCGAAGAGCTGATGTTTGACACTACAAAGGCTAATAGAGAAAAGCTGCCTAACACCGGCTGTGATCCTAATTGGGAACTCAATTTAAGCTCTGTTTTTGTAGGAGTTGAGACCGAATTAGTAATCATTGAATCCAAACTTCTTCCATATGATAATTTTCTTTGAACCAAAACACATATAACTAGTCTTTTTCTTTGATCCATACAGGGGCGATATGGAACGCGAAGCACTGCTGCTTTATCTGTAAAGACTACTGGAAATGTAAGCTTCTATGAGAAGTACTTGGAGAATGGAGTGTGGAAGGAGCACACTGTTGCTTACAATATAGAGAAGGGACAGTGAGTAGAGTTGCATCTGAGAATAATTGTGTTAAAGGACAGACACCGTTGTCCCAATTGTTGCCTTCTACATGAAATCTGAATGCAAAGGATTTATTTCCTTGTAACATAAGTTTGTGTCGCTCCACTGATATGTAATCTCGGAACATCACAAACATAAGGATGGATATATATATATATATATATATATATATATATATATATATATTCTTTCATAAGAGGCAATTTCTTATATTTAGTTGGCAAATAATGTTGAAAGTCTTTTCACAATTTAAGGAGGTCCTTTGGAGATAATACAAATGTAGCAATCTGGGAATCACACTCATTGGATATATGTTCAATTTAGGTTGACAAAAAGAATAAGAGACCAAAAGCTATCACAAAAGTAAAGAAAATAAAGAGTCAAACTTAAATAAAATGGTACGAGTGAAAGAATATTCTCCCTGATAATTACTTTTATGTCTTTTTCAAGTCCCAGAAAAGTTGAGTGGGAATCACATCTTTCATCATCTTATCTCTGTCTAAAAAAAATCAATAAATTAACAAAATATGCTAGAACTACATTCATTATATTTTTATAAATTAATATGTGAGACTAAATCAAGATATTATAATCCCCTCATTAAGATCTTGACATAGTCCGAATCAAATCCACCTAAGCATAATTTTTTAGATTGCAAATGCATTATATGATTTGATGACATAATTAACCTATTAGTTTTTCAAATCTAAATTACTGGATCAAAATATCTAAATCCAAATTAACGATAATAGAATCATCAGACTCATATCAATTCAATTCTTACTCATTTTTGATATAGGACTACACCAATAAATTTTTTTTATTCTTCCACAAAACAAATTATACAAAATTTTATCCAAAAAAATAGTAATAATTTTTTTTAGATTATATTGGAGATGAGAAGAGATGCGATCCCAAGATTCTACTATTATGATGAAAAAAGAATTCATTAAGAAATCCTCAAGTCTTTTCTTTGTTTTTGTTTTCCTAAAAGAATCTTGGATTTGGTTGTGTGGGTCCCCGTTAGAGTTCAGCCGTAGGTCGGGCTTCCATCGTTCTGCCTCGTTCCGCCACCGGAACCGTTTGATCAAACTTGTTCCCTTCCCCACGCCCCCGCAGCTCGCCGTTCTTATCTCCCCCTCTTCCTCTCCCGTCTCCCCCCCACGCCCCCCGCGCCGCGGGCGTTCCTTCTCCCATGACCTGATCGCTCCTCTTCTGCCTCTTCCGTCCCTCCCTACCGCCCCGCGAAGTTGTGCTCTCAAGGTGAGGAATTCTTTCTTGTCACTCTGCTGTTTTTCGGGTTGTTTATGACGGATCTGATGGCTTCTGTTGTAGGTCTCTCCATGAAACGGGTAAAATCAAAGGCGGATGCCTCCAAGAAGGCCGATAACAAGTGAGGATCTCTTCTTGTCCTTTCTGCTTTGGCTGGTGGATCGATCGGTGTTTTAGGAGTTAGGAAGTCCTTTTGGGACCTGGTTGTACTTCTATGTTTTGTTTTCTCAAGGCTTTCAGCGAAGAAGGGATCGGAACGGGCGAGTAAGAAGCCGAGGAAATTGAAGGCCGCCAAGGATCCCAACAAGCCTAAGAGGCCTCCCAGTGCCTTCTTTGTCTTCATGTGGGTACTTCTGTCCGTTGTTTGGCTTCTATGATTGATTGTTTGACTTACGTTGTTTTGCCGGTTTGAAATGGCAGGGAAGAGTTCCGGAAGTCTTTCAAGGAAAAGAACCCGAATAATAAGTCGGTCTCTGTGGTAAACTCCTCTATGTTCTCTACCGATCCATCTGTTCTAGTATGTCAATTTTCATCATAAAAGAAAAGATTTGATCTCAATTTTTTTGATCAAATAGGTTGGTAAAGCTGGTGGGGATAAGTGGAAGTCCATGTCAGAAGATGTACGCGATCACCACAGCTTGCCCCTTTTTAGATCAATGGTCCTGTTGAAAGCTTTGATCTAAATAAAGATGATGATCTTTTTTTTGTGGTTAATTACAGGAGAAGGTTCCCTATGTGACCAAAGCAGCTAAGTTAAAGACGGAGTACGCGAAGAAGTTAGCTACATACAATAATAACCAGGTCCAGTTCCCACATCTACCTGTTTGCCTTGGTTCAACCTTTTAACATATCAGTTAGCTAACTATTGATTCTCTTGATGGCTATTCGAGTAGTCTGGCGGAGGGAGTTATGCGGCTGGTGATGAAGACGAGTCTGACAAATCCAAGTCTGAGGTGAATGATGATGAAGAGGAAGAAGAGGGAAGTGAAGAGGCTTGTGTGATTGTCAAAATAGTTCCATAGATTGTTAAGTTGCAGTGGGAAAAGGCGCTAACCTTTTTATCTTTGTTTTGTTAAACAGGAAGAGGAGGAAGATGACTGAGAGAACTATGAGCAAAAGTGCAGTTGAAGGGGCAGAGTTGTTGAAGTAAGTTTGGCATACCACTGTCTTCTGTGATGGCTGAACCATTACTTGGCTGTTGAACGACATGTACTTACTTTCATCTACCTAAAAAAAAGTTAATGCCACTTGGGGTTAGTTCATCTGTTATTCATGGATGGCATATTTTGGGTGCATGAACATGGTTTTAGTGGTATTAGTTGCCCCACCTCAAAGGAATGCTATTGTGATATATTTATTGACAAGAAGGAAATAGGTCGTGGTTATCAGTTTAGTTAGTCGTGATCTGTGAAAATGATAACTGTTCTTGACATTGCTAGTTGAGATATGCGCCAAACTCTTTACCATTTGATATGTTTGGCCCATAGGCTTTGAAGGCTTGCATTTTCTGTCCATTCTTAACGTGTTTTGTTTTATGTTTCTCCACCCTTAAGCTTTTTAATTCTTACAATCTATTGCATGACCCAATATGAGATGTGGACTGATAACTCCAAGGGATTATTTACTATTTCAGACAAGGCCAGCAGAAAACATTGTGCTTTGCCTACTTGATTTACCAATTTGTGTTGATCGAGCATTTGAGTTCTAGAGATCAATTGCATGATACCATCTGCCTACCGTAGAACATGGTGAGTCGTTCCGGTATGTCTTGAGCTAGGGTACTCCCCGGTCAGGAGTTGTATGATTACAGTAGAATTAGGTTTATCATGTTGCTGTTTTCTGAGATGAGTATTATCTTACTCAGCTGGGCTTCATCGTTAAGGTTGTTCTCTGTGCTGTCTTATGATGCTTTATCTGTATAGTTCATTTTTAATGCACGCGAATGACATTTGTATGCATGCGACTGATGGACACCGGGAAAAATTGTCTTTATCAAGAAAAGGTTTATGTGATTGATTGATACAGGATGAAGTGGGAATCAGCTTTGTTCCTGTGGTTTCATTTTCGCACTTTTTCAGCTTTTGTAGATTGTTATTGAGTTAAAATTTATTTTGTTTTATTAATCTTTTGTTGATTTTCCTGATAAAACGTTTCCATGTAAATAAAGTATTGAACGGATTCTTTTAACTCAAACCGTCGTCACGTAAGAGGTAGTATAATAACCTTATATAGTAATCATGATTCAATTATGTAATTTTTTTTATAATATTATATTTTAATATTAAAGAAAAAAATAAAAGATGTAAAAGATCATAAATAAATGAAATAATTAGGATTTATTATTGTTGTTATCGAATATTAAAAATTTATTAACGTCACAACGACGAGCACTAATCAACTTGTCACCCCCTAGAGAAAGGCTGCAACCAGGCATACATACATTGACTTAAGAACTCGAAGAACGCCATGGCCCGCTTCATCAACCGTTGGATGGCGTGTTCACCATCAGTCGAACAACACGAGCTTCTCGTACTCCCGGCCGGAGATCGCCGAGGACATCACCTCCCGCGGGCTGAGCTGCCCATCCCCTTCCAGGAACAACTTGACCATATTCTTGGAGAAGCCGCTCACCAGCGCCACCCCCTTCTGCGTCGAAACCACCGGCGTCGATCTCGACGTGCCCCTAAGGTTCCAGAACACCACCTCCGGCACCGCCTCCCCGTACCCGCTCTCCTCAAACTTCCTCCTGATCGCCTCGTAGTCCGTCTCCCATGGATTCGGCGACGCCCGGTCGAATTCCATGTCGCTGAACACGAACACCCTCCGCACCATCCCGTCTGCCGGCAGCCTCCCCTCCACCGCCACGTCCAGCATTTTGTCGAACACCTTCTGGAAGTCCGTATTCATCCCCCAGTCCATCATCCGCACGAACCGCGTCTTCTCCTGCAGCGACTCCCCCTCGATGCGGTGCAGCATCGGCCTCTCGCTGAACGTGATCACTCGGCCCTTCCATGGCTCTTCGCTCAGCTCGGATATCAGAAGCCCGAGCGCGACGCTGACCTCCATCGGCGTGCCGTCCATGCTGCCGGAGACATCGCACACGGCGATGCAGTTCCGCAGGCTCCCTATTTTGGATAGGTCTTCGACCATCCGCTTCCACTGCAGCTCCGCGACCTCGTCGCCGGAGTCCTTGACGATCTCGTGGGGCAGGAGCGCGCCGGCGGCGATCTTGGCCTTCCCCTTCTTGACATCGTCGAGGTATTGGGTGAAGCGCTCGCGATCGTGCTTCAAGAAGTGCTTTTTGTAGTTCTTCATGGCCACGGATGCGACGCGGCTGTAGGGGAGGATGCTCCACTGGCCGGCGCTCATGTACACCTCCGGGAGGTCGATGGCCCGGCGAAGGGGGACGAGAACCGCGCGACGGAGGCGGTCGCGGACGCGGTAGGCATAGTGTGCGTCCGAGACGAAAGGTAGTCGGGATCGGAGCTCCGGGGGAAGACGCGGCGCGCAACGGCGAGGGAGATCTTTGCGACCGAGGGGCACCACTTGGCGGAGGTCGGCAGCGATCGAGGGGCACCACTTGGCGGCGAGGGAGATCTTTGCGACCTCGCCGGCGCTCAGGTGGCGGAGGTCGGCAGCGAGAAGCTCGGCAAAGACGTCCGCCACGCGGTCGTAGAGCAACCGGTAGTCGGGGTCGCGAGTGTGCCGCTTGATGGCCCTGATCGCCATCTCCGTGCGCTTCGTCCGCCGGATCTCCGTCGACTGCGCCGACAAGATCTTGCCCCTGGCCAAATCGGCGGCAATTCTCTCTTCCCTCGTCCCTGCCTTTATCGTTGGGGGCAGCTTTTCCGACTGGCGGCAGCATGGACGGCGGCCGAAGCAACGGCCCTGAGGACCGCGATGCGGCCTCTCGGCCTTGGCCTTCGCTCGAACGTTGTCGCCGGCGATCAGGCGGTGGAGTATCTCCGGCAGATCCTTGAGGTAGCCGAAGTCGGCGATGGCTAGGAGGTTGAGGGCGAGGGTCTTAGGGTGGTGGCGGTGGAGCCAGAGGGCAGCGGCATAGAAGCCGTCGCGGTCGGACTTGCCAGTGCCGCGGACGCCTCGAAGGTGGCAGGCAAGCTTGAGCGCGGTAGCGGCGTCCTGCGCCCAGGCGGCTGATAGTAGCTCGGCCACCGTTTCGGCGGCTGTGCCTGGGACGACCTGGAAGAAGAAGTCGAGGCAGGAGTCGCCGGAGGAGATGTAGGTCGGGGAGAGGTTCTCCGTGAGGCCCATGGGCGGCCGCGAAGGGTCGGCGTTGAAACCTGCATCCATGAGGTCAAGCAAGGGGTCGCCGGTGGGAGGCGGCGTTGGTGGTGGTTGTGGTGGTGGCGCGGTAACGGAGGTGGGAGGGGGATGTCGGATCTCGGGCGGGCCGAGGAGGGTGGTGGCGGGAGAGGGAGACGACGTCATTGGTATCGGTCGACCGGTGGTGGAGTTTTGGCTGTGAGGCTGATAGAGGGAAAGCGCCGGGAAAGGAGAGAGTCTTTCGTTTGAGGAGGCGCAGAGGGCGGGTATTTAAAAGAGGACGTTACCTTGGGACCCAAGCAAGGGCGGTATTTACAAGAGGACGTTTCCTTGGGACCCAAGCAAGGGCGGGCGCGTACCAATGACGCCGTTGCTCGACCGCCTTCCGAGTTTAGTTCATGCCGGGCCTTGTTCAGAATTGTTCCATTTAATCAGAACCTCGCCAATATATTCACAATACCCCCGAGACATCTGCACCTACCGTGCCAGAAAAATACTCATGGGAGTATTCCTTGAGGGATCGGTATCTAGCTTCATTATGGATATTTGATAATAATCAAAAGATATGTATAATTAAAATATTAAGGAATCTATTACCTTGACTTCAAAAATCAAATTGAACATCTAATTTATTTTCAAAAATGGAGTCACTATCGTGATCATATAAATAAGAGATGAATGGAGTCACTATCGTGATCATATAAATAATAATTAGAAGAAATAATGATAACTAGATTAGTTAAGAAATAAGACAACGGGAGCCTATTATATAATATTTTTAGTCAAAACATAAAACTCATGAAATATTAGGATTTCTCTAAAACCGTTCCCAATGACATGTTAAGAATTAAGAAAAGCGATTTGATAATCAGTTGGCCTTTGAATTCATATATTCAAATTTATTTATCCTTATTAATATTAATCATCAAATCCACCTTAAAAATAAGTTCGAGAATCACCAATATAGTAATCGAGGCCAGGCCCACTCAACATATGAGCACATGGATATTAATCAAATATTCATAGAAAATATATTAGATCATAGTAATCATGATCGGTTATTATTTACTCAAAGACATATTATTTCATTACTAACTTAATTATCAGAGGAACAATATTAGAAATTCCATCCGACATCAATCTTTGTATAAGTCGACATATGATTGAGAGTTGAAGACCTAAGTCAAATCAAATTAGATTGATCTAGCAATCACCGACATTTTTTATATCATTTGGTACTAAGAGGACTAACATATCACGAGAGTATCATCCCTTTGATCTAAGTCAGGTTAATCTAGTGATCATCAATATTTTTTATATTATTTTAATGCTAAAAAGACTCACATGTGACAAGAAAATTATCCCTCCAATCCACTCAATGAGTATTCTAACCAGAGCACTTTACTCTTTATCTATATAACTTTCACTAATGGCTACTTAAAAAATATATATATATTTCTAACTCTCTAACACCTACACCTCACCACAAACTCCTCTACAACATTAGTAATTGTTCAATAACATCAGTCTCTCTCCTCGGGTGAAATCCTCCACCCATATGATGGTCCTTGTGAAAGTCAACTTGAGTCTTACTCAATAAGTTATATGTCGATAGGGATTATGCAGTCTATTATCCCCCTCATCCATCAACTGGCCCATTCAATGACAACCCTAGGATAATGATGTCCATTAATCTCGAAAGTAGGAGATCTCAAGGCTTCCTCCACTGAATGATCGATTGCTAGTGGATGCTTTAGGTTATAAGAGTTATGATCAGCAACTCCTCCAACACATATCGAGATGCTGCGGCCAACCGTAACTCTTATAACCTAAAGCGTCCACTAGCAATCGATCATTCAGTGGAGGAAGCCTTGAGATCTCCCACTTTCGAGATCAACGGACATCATCATCCTCAATTGAGGGCCCCCAAGTTAGAGGTTCAATTCAGTAGATTCCATCATATATACTTTTTAAGTGCTGATATTATAG